GAACCTATTGCTTTCATATAAGAGTAATCCCATTGAATGGAAAAAATACGCGCATTTCGACAAAAATAAGTAATTATTTTAGTTTTACTATTATATTAATTATATTTCATATTTTACATATTGTTTATTAAATATTTAATATATAAATTTTGATAATTTGATTATATGCTACGAATATTATTAACTCTCTTATTATGAAAAGCAAAATATTTTTCATAAATTCACAAAAATATTGGCTTAGTTTGTTGATAGAGAGAGAGAGAGAGAGAGAGATTGTTGCTTTGCAGATTGTGCCTGATAAAATTGTTTACTATAGAATAGAGTACATTAACTGAAAATTCTACTGACATAGTCTATAGATTATTAACAAATTAAGATCTTTATTTGTTAACAATATTTTTGTTTTTAATTAATACCATTAAACTATTAGTGATAAGTGTAACCACATCCCAACCCCAATTTAAAATAACCCAAACCCCCGCTGAAATATCGCTGGAAATCTGTAAAACCTATTGAACACAACTTTGTACACTATTTATTAATATTTAGCAATTTGTTTGATTAAAGTTCAACAAAACTGGAAAATATGGGAAATTTCCAGAATTTTTCAGAATATTCTAACATTAATTAAACTGATTTCTAATATTTTATTGGACCAAAACATTTAGTGCATAAGTGTGCGCAAGATTTTACATTTAACTTTTATCAATTGTAGTTTAATCTAAATGTGTTTGGTACAAATATCAGTTAATTACTTGACAAGGATTATAAAACCTTTATTTTGTGATGAAGTCAAAAGGGTATTTAATATAAATCAAAGGGGGACTTCAAGGGGTGTTGTTAATGATTAAAAAATAGTTGTTTTTAATAAAAATTGCAATTAACAATTTAAACCCCACACCTTTGTTACCCACAAGTTTGTTATATTAAGTAATATTTTGAAAAGTGTATGGAAACAGTACGTGAATATATGTAATGACACCATATTTTTCAAAATCGATATCAATATCAGTGATAATATCGTAAGATTTATATATATATATAAGTGGAGCTAATCTTAGGTTTTGAGTTAAGCCAGAGTAACAAACAATACATTTATTGATAGACATACTGACTATTCAATAGAGGCTTTCCACTGATTCTTATAAATTGATAAAAATAAGTAAAACACAACAATATTTATTCCATAAGTGTTACAAAACAAACACTAATTAATGAATGTTATAATCAGTTAATGATAAGTCAATAATTGATTTAAATCTAATGCTCTTAAAAAATATCTTTTAAAAAATAATTTCCTGTTTTTTGCGAAATATTAAAACTTAATAAACAATTAATATTATCACAGAAAACAGGATATTATGTAACGAAATGCAAATGCGATTTCATTATAATTATTAATGAACTCTCGTTATTATCACATGTTTTGGTGCAAAGTCTATATAAATATATTTGAATCGCTGTTTTAGGTACACCCGGAATCTGGTGGACAAAGGGAACGGCAAATACAATCTGATGCTCGTGTGCTGGTCGGAGGGACAGGGATCCGGTATCCACGACCACTCGGACGCCCATTGCTTTATGAAAGTTAGTTATTAGCCATAAAGTAGTTATGAATATAGATATGAAACAAATACATTGAGAATAATTGAGCACTTATTGTGACACTTACTTAACACAAGTCTCTAAACACACAAATGAAATGAATTGCAAAACAATTTCATATAAACTCTGGTTTTGACGGATCAGATGCTGACGGGAAGTCTTCACGAGATTCGGTTCGAGTGGCCGGACGTCAAGAAGTCGACGCAAGAGATGAACAATAATGTGAAGGAAAGCACTGAAGAGATGAAGGTTTTGGAGGAGAATGTGATGAAGACTAATGCCGTCGCGTATATCAATGGTATGATTGTCTCAATCCGTGTGTCATTTGAATGCATGTATTGATTGGTATATCCCCTGATTGCAGACTCCATAGGACTGCATAGAGTGGAGAACAGGTCGCACACCTACCCGGCCGTATCACTACACCTATATATACCGCCCTATTCTAAGTGCCAGACCTTCGATGAGAGGACCGGAAGGAGAAACGAGATTAAAGTGACTTTCTATAGTAAATACGGCTCAAGAACTCCGTATAAGGTGTCCAAAATTGGCCACAAATAACACACAACTTCTGACAAATCTGTTTTTATTTCTAATAATTAATTGTAAGAATAAATAAAATGTTTGATATTATAGAGTGAATTGATTGCCAATAATTGTAATACAGTTTGAATGTTAATAAATGAAACATACATTGAATGAAATGCTAATAAAATACAAACAATAATCACATTAATCCATAGTTATAAAAAAGAGATTCAATGAAATGTTAATAATACTGTATTTGTAACATTATTACATATTGTTATTACTGATTGCATTGTACAAGTTCTTGTTCGTGTAAATGATCAATGTAAAACTTGTATATATTAAAGCATAGGATAAGTGCCTTATTGTGACTTTTGGTTACAGTCCTTAAGGCTTTCTCGCAAAGTAGGAAAACCGTGGTTTGGGAGGTATGGGACCACATTTCAGTGAGTGTCTCATCAAATACGACACTCGCGTTGTATTGCAATTTGTGTACAAAATCCTCGAAATTGATACCAAATAATAATTTGTGGGATTCCGACAAAACTAATCCTATTTAAATAGTTTTTGACAAAAATTATACAATATTCCTATATTTTAGATATAATGAGAGAGAGAGAGAGAGAGAGAGAGAGATTGTTGTTTTGCAGATTGTGCCTGATAAAATTGTTTACTGTAGAATAGAGTACATTAACAGAAAATCCTACTGACACAGTCTATAGATTATTAACAAATTAAGATCTTTATTTGTTAACAATATTTTTGTTTTTAATTAAAACCATTAAACTATTAGTGATAAGTGTAACCACATCCCAACCCCAATTTAAAATAACCCAAACCCCCGCTGAAATATCACTGGAAATCTGTAAAACCTATTGAACACAACTTTGTACACTATTTATTAATATTTAGCAATTTGTTTGATTAAAGTTCAATAAAACTGGAAAATATGGAAAATATCCAGAATTTTTCAGAAAATTCTAACATTAGATGCAATAATTAAACTGAATTTCAATGTTTTATTGGACCAAACATTTAGTGCATAATTGTGCGCAAGATTTTACATTTAACTTTTATCAATTGTAGTTTAATCTAAATGTGTCTGGTACAAATATCTGTTAATTACTTGACAAGGATTATAAAAACTTTATAGAGAATTGGTGATATATGGCAATTAGAAATACCTTGGTTATCATTGGGTTTGGGTGTCAATGGGGACACCGTGTATTCGGTGGACCACAGCTATTATACAACTAGACATTATACTAAAATAATTAATTAAAACTACTATTCAGGTCTTTGTATTATATAAACATAAAATGTACAAAATAATTTATTTCCAGATTAACGAATATTTTCACTAGGCAAGTTACTATCAAGTTAATTATTAATTAAATTGTGATATGTCACTGGTACATTACCTTTAACATCGGTGTCCTTACGTTTAATGGCAACGTCGTCCGCACTGATGGTCACCGATATAATGATTATAGATATGGCCAACAAATAAGATATTTCCAGCATTATAACAAATTTGATGTCACAATGAAAGTATGATTTATAAAAAATACAATTAAATATTTAAAAAGACTAA